AAAATAAACGGAAGGAGGGTATTGTTAGAGTATAGAAAACGAAAGAAGAATATTGTTACAGTAAAATAAGCGAACGAAAAATATGGTTAGAGTTTTAAAAAGCGAAAAGTAGTGTATGTTTAGGATAAAATAAGCAAAGAATGCAGTAAGGTCGGATCGAAGAAAAGCTTCGTATGCAGAAAAATAAGATGGAAAAAATAATCTTGTAAAAACCTAATTCGAACTAAAAGTACAGAATCTGGCGATTATATACACAAATGGACCAATACTAAAACAGTACTTATATTGAAGAAAATTTATAAATTTTTTGCTTTTTTACATGTAGATCCAAAATTGCTTTTGAATAAAACAGAATTATATTTGAAAAATATATGTTATTAGCTATGTTTTGAGTACCATATATCAAAGAATTTTGTTTTTTTCAAAAAATAATTCAGACTCACCCAGAAAGACCTTTCAATTTATAATAGAAAAAAGAAGAATTTTTATAATAAGAAAGTTTATTCAATGATATTCCATGTATGTCAAATTACATCAGCTGCAACTATTGTTTAATAACAATGGACTTTTTTGAATTACGAGATCACATAGAAGAGAAGAATAGAAAATGATAGAAAATATCACACTTCGCACAAGAGTTATCATTACAATTTTAATCACTAAGGAAAAGGAACTAACATATTCCAAACACTGATTATGTAACTCTCGAAAGATTTCTAAACGTACTATAATTATTCAAATTTTCATTGGAGAACAAAGCAGCTAGCGTTTCTGAACGGCCTATAAAAGTAGTGAATATTGAAAAGAAATAGAAACTTTTATTTCTTTGAAAGAACATTCGAAAAGTTATAAATATATAAATACTATTCCTTTTATTCTATTTTGATCTAGCTGAGTTTGGCGAAAAATTATCAGTATACAATAAATTCACAACAAAAGGTATTACATTTACAACCTTAAATTATTCCAAATTGGCACAATTCCAAGACTACCGGTCTTTATAGACGTAGAAATGTACATTATTTTGATCTCACTAGTAAAATTACATTAATAACGGCCTCAAATAATTTATTGTTACAAATTTAGTCCTTATGTAACACTAGAAAAGATGAAATATTGCTGAATTTTATTACAAAAAAAGTTTTGTGCGATAATGTTGAATTTGAGACAATTGATTTTGATCATCATATTCATGTTAATGTAAATGATATGAATATGGACATGTATGCTACTATTAATTTGAAAATTTTTATTTTATTCGGTATCTAACGTTAAGTGAGCCTAGTTTGAGAACACATTACTACTTATCTTGAATTGTTGGCTTTTCTTTTGTATAAAATACATGCTGTCTTTTTCAACATTATTCGAGTATATTTTTTATCTTATTCTATCACAGAGTCGTCATGAACCGTTATACCTTTTAACTTACATATGTTGACATTCATGTCACCCCACATTTATTCTAGTTAACATAGATCTCTATTGTATATAAGAGCCAGCCCACATAAGCCACGACCGATTACTATAGGACCTGCTCAATCGATATCCTCCAATTCGGCTCATTTTAACATATGTGATAGAGGCAAGAGTTTGATGAATTTTGGCGAATATTTTCCAGTGTGGAGATATGAGCTACCAAAGTAGGTCAAAATAGTGATTTTTTTCTCCAATAGTGAATCCCATAAAAAACCAAGGACTTAAGCCTTCAAGCTGAAATTATTTTTATGTGTAGAAATTGTTGGTGTATAGAACTACAAAAAATTTCAGCTCGATTGGTTGAGTCGTTCTTGAGATATAATGTGCTTAAAATCCTTTGCCGATGATTGTGGAGCTTTATAATGCTCTTCGTAAAAATTCGACAAAAAATCGAGAGTTCAATATTTTTTGAATCGGCTTTCGCCAAAATTCATCAAACTCTTGCCTCTATCACTTATGTTTAAATGAGCTCAATCGGAGGATACCGATTGAGCACTGTCGATAGTGGCTTACGTGGACTGGCTCATAAACACACCTTTTCTAGAACCACATGCATGCAAACATTCGTTCAAACTCTTTTCTAAACTATTCATTTTTTCGAGAAAAAAACGCATCAAAGAGAACAACGTTGTAACGCGTTTCAAAAAACACTTGTTTTTCAATAGAAGAAGGCTAAAAACGCATTTGAATGCATAGCGAACAAACGCGTCCAAACGCATAAAACTGAATGCATTCAAACAGTGTCTTTAAGTGAGTCTATGGGCTTTTTTATTTCAAACTGAATTCCAAAATCAAAAAAACCACACCAATTTCTTCTGAATCAAACTTTTCTCGCTTGATACTACGTAGTCTCACTAAAAACCCTTAGTCCCCCTTGTCCTGCAAAGTCCCCCTTAGTCCCCCCCACAAAAAGCTTAGTCCCCGCTTAGTCCCCTGTGCAGGGGGCTAAAGCCTATAGTACACAAAACCACAAGCACACCCTCACCCTCACTCGCGCGCCCACACCCGCACCATGGGTGTGGGTGTGTGTGTGGGTCCCAGACCAACACCCACACCCTCAGTCACCCCCCTCCCTCACTCCTAGACTCACGTTTCAGTTTGAAATCAAGTATTATTTTTATTTGATAAATTCAGACTGAAATTAAATAGCCCATAGTATGCTTTAAGTTGCGTTTTAATTTGAAAAAATGCGTTCAAAAGATAAAAGATGCGTTTAGCGCGTTGAACTTAAAAAGGAGGCGCTGAAACGCAAAAATAGCGCTTTTTTCCTAAAAGTTTGCGTTGGAACGCATTTTTATACAAATTATTTTTCATGGGTACTTCTTCACAAATATCAAAAACTCTGTTCTACAAAAACAGAACAAAAATGTTCTGTTTTTTTTGGAACAGAATTTTTGATATATCCCAATAACAGAACACTTTTGTACTGTTTTCGGAAAAAATCGAGGAAGAAAGCGTGTACTTCTCTGTACTTCTTGTACTTCTTCGTACTTTTTCGTACTTTTTCGTACTTTTCCGTACTTCTTGGTACTTCTTGGTACTTCTTGGTACTTCTTGGTACTTCTTCGTACTTCTCTGTACTTCGCTGTACTTTTCCGTACTTTTGTACTTCGGAAGTACAGAAGTCCGCTTGTTCCCCCTTGTTCAAACGTCTTGATTCTAATTTGGTTTGAACTCGTTGGGTCTATAGGAAGGTTATAACTAATCTAATACTTTCAAAAATGCTTGGCCCGTGTCCATCGGTTAAACTTATTTAAAAAATGTTGATCACAACGAATTGAAACTTCATTTGAGTTTAAGTTTCTTCCTACAATTTCAACTGAACATAATCTCAAAAAAGGCGTGCTCATAAATTTGCTATATGTCAATATTTGAACAGCAAAACGACTATTCAAGTCATATACTTGCACTTTTAGATTCACTAGCAAAAAAAATTCAAGTACGTGTTTCTTTTATTGTCTTATTGTTAAAAACATAAAGTGCAGAACAAGAGAGAAAAATGCGACTTCAAAATGATTGCTTGCTCATAGGATAGATAGTATTTGAATTATTTTTTTTTTTTGTTTTTGAGTCGTGAATCGCACGACCAACCAATACCTTTTTAGTGCACTAAAATCCTACAAAAGTTGCCCATTTTCAAAGATTTTCATAATAGTGCCGTCACAAAGCGGTCAGAAGTGGAAAGAAAAGCATAGCCACTTCTCTCTCTGAATCTTTCAATCAGCTATGATTAAAAATTTCTTAGTATAACTCTTATAGCGTCGTAGTTTTCTTCTTTCAGATGTAGTGCAATAATTTCTATTTTAGATAAACACGAACTCATTCAATTTGTTAAATAACAATGGAAGAATTAGAAAATCTTTATAAACTGAACAAACATATTGAAAAGCAACGAAAACGTCACAACAAACTAATACGCAAACAACAACAAAGAGGAAAAGTGATCGATAAACAGATCAGTTTACGTTTAGAAAATGTGACTGAAATTCTTATCGATCTAATGAATACTCGAAACAACGATATCAAAATCGTTTATTCACGCGAAAAAATCTTGGAAAGATTTGTCTATCGTCCAAAGAATGTTGAATCTATTGAAAATGGTAAGTTAGTATTAAGTATTAGATAATGCTAATAGTTATGCATTAATATTAAAACGAGGTGTGATACTTTTTGTATTACTTCGTAAAAGCTAATTTAATGCTAACATATTAACATTAAGATAGCTTCGTAATGTTGAATGAGGTGTAATCAGTAAATTTGCTACAGACAATCAACAACAAGCTTTCAGATCGTAATATTCTGGATTCGAGTATCGTATGAGGTAGACTATCTTCCTATGGCATTGAGTTCAAAATCTGAATTCCATCATGCTTTTCGATAAGTGAGAAATCCTTGACTTTTTCATGAAACGTCTCCTAAATAGCTTTCGTCATATAAGATATTAGTAGTGATGAAACATTGGCATTTGTTCTTTTTTGTATAGAAAAGGGGTAATAAGTTCTTTTCAAAACCTTTGCCTTTTTTGTTTTAAGCATTGTCATCGAAACCTTTAACTACAGTTTTACTGAAATTAGCCATATCCTATTCTCAAGAAAAAAAATGCTCGTAGGATGTAAAATAAAACATTTTCATTTCTAAAAGATGTCTTTCAATGTTAAGATTCTTCTTTAGAAAGTTTTATCTTTTCCACAGAAAATTTGTAAGTACGTGGCTGGATCATACTTCGACGCTTTTCAATCATATTAAACGATGCTGTTTTAGTAAAAAGATACGTCCTATATTATTGAAATAGTTCTATATAAATTTCTTTTAAAATTCTATATCTTCTCATATTTTCAGGAAGTGCCGATACGAAGCCAGGCATTAACTTACAATCCCTAGTTGAACTTGATGATCATGAATCACCGCTGCCACAATCGCCGAGGCTAACACCCTTGTCACCTATTCCTCGAGATACTAGAAGTTCTAGTAAGAGTACAACAACAAAGATAAAGACAGAGTCTCGCACAAGGACTCCATCTCCGATGCCTGAACAAGCATCCAGTAGTGAATCAACGAAATCGGTCACACCACCACCGATTGATAATACTAATTCAAAAAAAACTGTATTGTTACCAGCGGCTCCTTCACATTCTCCACTGAAAATTACGCGAATGATGATCGGAGATACATTAACACAATTCAAAATGGCTCCCGAATATTTTGTACCCGATGATCAAGAATCGGTATCGAAAGACATTATCTATCCAGACGGCAATGTTGATGAACAATCATACATTACCGTGGCACGTTATCGAACAATGATGGGCGAACCAACCGATTTTAAAAATAAACCACTTCAATTAGGTGCTAATTCAGTAGAAACGCTCATATTAACACTTAACAAATTTTCTCAACATTTTGATGGTGAATTAAATTTTTCCAAAAACGATATACCATTTCAATATAGTTCACAACGTGCTGTTTGTGGTATGGCCGATTTTGGTAGTATCCTAATACTTCTTGCTGATATCATACCGACGGCTAAATTCGAATTTCAAATGAAAAATTTTGATTATGATGAATTGGCACAATCGCGTGATGCGATGGAAAAATTTGCACTAGATTTTTGTGCAGCAATATGCGGAATACTGCAATGTGAACCGGATTATATTCGATTGTTTTCCATCGAGAAATCCAAAGATGAACTCAAAATGCTTAATCTGACATTTGGGTTAACAACACCGGTTCTAGACGAAACAGAAAAATTGGCTAAAAATTTACAGATACAATGTGAAAAAGCATGCTATATACTTCTCAGCTGATAGAATCAGATACGACCAAGAGAAAAATTCTATCTTGAACATTGCTAGTAGTAGATAGACTAAGTAAGACGAATGTTTACAGCATAATTGTCATATTACTGATATTAAATATTCGTATTACTTACATACAACAGTCAAAACAATCTGTAAGACTAACCGAAAGACTGCAATAATTTTGAATGAAGCACTGAAAATGAACTCCTGTTAATATGATAATAATTGTTGAAACATCAGTTTTAAATCCAAGTGTTGTGTGTATTTCAAAAAGTAAGAATAATTGACGACATATTGATTTTGATCAAAGTGTCTTAAGACGAGTCTTGATAGCATATCTAAATATCAAACCTACTACATGAAGTCGTTTTCCTAAAACCCAATTTCTATTAGTTGCTGGTCAACCAACAGGGTTTTGAGGCAAGTGGAGCTCAGCTTCAAGTTTTCTGTCACAAAAAACCTTTCTTCAAGTTTGATAAAACCTAGAAAAACCACTCCTCTGATCGGAAAACAGAGCTTCAATTTTCGACCAATCAAAGTATGAACAAACGCAGAAGAAAATTTATGTTTAAGTATCTTTGCAACAGATGCTGAGCGTTCTTGTTTCTTACTGTTTTTTTTACCATTTTGTTGCCGATGAAATTCTCTATAGAATGGTATATATATAGGTTGAGCATTTTATTTTGATTATGAGGGGAAAAGGTTTTTACGAAAACTGAGATCGGTCAATATTTACAAAGAAAAGCATAAGAAAAAATAACCTTTTTTGCAATAAATAAGCAATTTCTTCATCAATCGTTCTCATCTTCGAACTTGACCAAGATTTTGATCAGACGATTCTATGCAAAACGTTTCATGGCAATCGGTTCATATTCTCAAGAGTTATTGTGTAAATGGCAGGTCAGCGGGCCGGACACACAGATCGATTCTATAGTTATTCTATAAATAGTGATATGCACAATCAATTTTCATCCTATTATAAAATCAGTTTCATATCTTACGAAATATTTCAGAAAACAAACATAGTAACATGAACTATTCAGGCTATTCAATATCTGTTTGAAAACTTTTACATGTTGAATGGCGGAAACACCGGACTGACTATCTCAATTCTGAGTTTCAGTAATTGTTGACTGAATAAACGGCTAAGTATTGACGTAGATTGCATTACTACATTGAAGTAACTCATATTGAGGATCAATCGCATAATACTTTTGAAACAAATTTCTGATCAATATGACCTCTTTTGTCGATTGAAAACGAAAATTTTTTTCTATCGGGAAACCCGATTTTCTAAGGAGTAACTCTTAAAATTGAAGTGGAAAGTTTAATCAAAAAATTGCAATAAGCCACTTATTCAAATCATATTGCCGTTTCTTAGCTTGAATTACAACGTGTGTCATATGACATTTTTTTTGTCATGAAAAGCAAATAGATGCCATGCGAAGAAACGTTTTTAGTCGCTTTCCGATTTCAATGATAGTTTATGTAGTTTACTTTCATATTTGTCATAGCTTTCCGCTCAATCCTGTATAGAAGACAAATAGTGGAGGTTTCATAGGTTAAGTTGATTCGATAAACTACTGGTTTGGTAAGTACGTTGAAAGTAGCTTGATCAGTATTCAATAGAGCAATTATTGTATGTACTAGCTGTATCTGTCATTGACAGATTCAAGCTCAATCTGGTTTTACGGATAACGATATTCTAAAAGATGTTAAACAAAGTGAATACGAATGTAAATGGAAGACGATTATAGAGTATTTCAATATACAAAAACCTGATCTCGATCCTCGATACAACTTTGACTACAGAAAACCCGGCGTATCGAAACAAGAGAGTCGTGGTAATGAACCGTACTATTTACCATTCGGTTGGTATCGTCATGGACTCAAGGTGGATAATAAATATGCAGGTGATATTGCTTGGCTTGGTCGTGTCAATGCTGAAGGTGAGTGGCCGGTTGCTTTTCACGGTACAAATAAAAACGCAGTTCTGGGGATTACGCAAGAAGGTCTACTAGCCAGCAAATCTGCACGAGATATAATGAAAGATGAAGCCATCAAACAAATGGGTGAAGAGGCAGATCGTCCAGGAATCTATCTAGCAACACATTGCAATGATGGAGCCGATAGATATGCTGATTCATTTACATTTCCAATACGAACTGAAGAGAGTGCAACATTTCAGGTCGTTTTTCAGTGTCGTGTGCAACCCCGCAAGTTCACAAGACATACAGGAGTGGTCACTACCGGTGAAGCTTGGCGTTTTGTTGATGAAAGCGCGATTCGGCCTTATGGCATTTTACTGAAGGAAATTGTCTAATCAAAAACAAGTGGTCAAACAGAAAATGTGAACACCGCATGAAAATAATATTTTGAAATTAACCTAATATCGATTATGCATAAACCAGACGTTCAGCAAATATTTTTCTTTAATATAATTATTTTTCGTTTTTCAATCAAATATACTCGATTGTATCTTCAAAAAGTTTAATTAAATTGATCCTTTCATCTATATCGACTTATTGATATAATATCTTGAGGGTGTGAGTGTGTGGGTGGATGTGGAGTGTGGGTGTGGGTACATGTCTTCTTATAAGACACACCCACATCCTTTATTATAAATACGGAAGATATTTTCTATAGAGAAGATTACTTCTGGATGATGACACTGTCTTCATAGTAAATTTCTTCCAAACATTAACATAGGTCGTTTAAAAAACTGTGCCATTTATGAAGGAGTAATAAGGTTTCAAAGACAGAATAATATTTTACTAATGCGAATTTTTAACTAACAGATATCAGCATATCGAATAAATAACTAGATTATCACAAAATTGAAAAGTAACGATCGAGTTTGTAAACAAGGAAAATCAATGTATCAATTATTCTAAGTAAATGTCTATGCTTAACACTTTATTAAAATGTTTTTCAAAACAAAAAAAAACAATTTCAAATAATTATATAAAAAAAAAGATTCGTAGAATGAATGAAGAAAGAAGTTCATTTAAAAGATTGATGAATTTGTTCTTGTTGTTAATCAATGATTGATATTTTTGAACTATCTCATTCATCATAGAAATTTGATCGTAATCAAACAAGCTCTTCGACATTGATAAGCACAACTATTTAAGAATATTTGAATAGATTTACTGATTTTACCTTTTCAACCATCCAATAAACCATCATATTCAAATTTCAGAAAAACAAAAAAATTTGTTTTTCTCGTTTTTTTTAAACAATTTATATTTAAGAAATTTCCAATGATGTACATAATGATTTTGTTTCCACATACAGAAAAAGATTATTTATATTATCTCATTAATATAATAGCAAGAACAAAATATGTTTTTTTTTGTTTGTTTTATTCTAAACCAGTAACACTAAAAAATAAGTATAATACACCAAAAGATATCAACGGAGGAAAAATTTCTGAAACTAAACAGTAAAAAATCCCTAAAAAAAGAACTCTTATGTTATTAGAGTAGTTAGAGGAATCATATATGACTAATAAAGGAATTCGTATAGTTCCTATGAAGTGAGAAAAATGAAAAATGACTGATGTCGATTTCCACCGGTTCCACTAATGAAAACTACAATCGGTCATAACTCTGCTTATCGGGTAATGAGTTGCATCATCTAACTTAGTTACATAAATATATTTGATCATAAGGATACTCAGGTTAACTGTGCTATGATATCACTGATTAATTATAAACTAAAGCATTTCTTTAATACGTTCAAAACCTTCACAAACTTTGAAGTGGATTCATTTAAAAGTAGAGGCGTAGTTATATCGATCATTATAACACTTAGAAAGCTTAGTCGATTGTCTCTATATGTAACGATTCTTGTGTGGGAACAGGAAGGAGAAACTTTTCACTTGCTTTCTTTATACTTCAACGCTAATGAACAATCACGTTTCATAAAGCAAAGGCTTGAAAGAAGGGGCACTGTAACATCTCTAAAAAAGAAATGATGGTTCACGGGAGAAATGTTAGCATATTCGAATGCTCAAGGGGGTGTGAATGTGAATGTGATGTTTTTTATTTCTCTTGTGGGTGTGGGTGTGGGTGTGGGTGAGTGTAGGTGTGGGGTGTGGGTGTGGGTGTGGGTGGGTGTGGGGTGTGGTGGGTGTGATGATCTGCTTAATTCACACACTCACACCCACACCCACTCTAGTTTTTGTCAGGTTATATTTTTCTGATAAACTGATTGTCTTAGGATACCTGTTTCATTGTTGAAACATTAAATAAGGATACTCTATGAGCTACATTATGAGTAAATAATTCACATTTATAATACATGAATTATAATTATGTATTTGATTTTTCATCAAGCCGATTATCACCTCATTTCTCTTATAGAGTATTCGTTAGAACTTTTGACGCCCTACAAAATCAGCTATTTTCAAGACTTGCAAAAAGTGGGCGACATGACCAAATATTGACTCAAACACTAGTAGACCGCTATTTTTCGACTTTTTCGAGTAGTACTTGATGGTTTCTAAGCAGAATACTCCATATTGTGATTGAAAGAAAATATCATATTCGGAATCAGCATTAAAAGTTGGAACTAACCATATAAATTTCGAACTGTTCCTATGAGATTGTTGTCTGGTCATATTTTTACCTGGGGGGGGGGGCCCCCTCATGGATAGATGAAAAATCAAGTTTGGTGAAAGAGGGTGTGGGGGGGTGTGGGTGTGGGTGTGGGTGTGGGGTGGGTGGTGCAGAATAGAATGAAACCAACACCCACACCCCGTCCAACTTTCATTATACAATTGTATAAATACTTTGCATTCAGAATGCAGAATACATTCATTTTGAACTGTCTTGAAGATAAGACTGAGAAGAATTGATTTATAGTTTATAGTATTTCTTATACTCACATCCTTCCTTGTCTATTTATATAATTGAGTATTATAATAATATACTCGACATAAACCAAAAGAGTAAAAATACAGAAAACTTCAAAGTTTAAAAGTCATAAAATGATACGTGACAACCGATATAATATTCATAATATCAGTTTAGTCCGATGATGACGTCAATAGGATTAACTGTCGAGCTAATGTCATACCAATCCATAGTGATCAGATTAAATATGCTCGTTGTATGATTAGTCAAAAATTCTTGAAGCACCGAATTAGTTTCTAATGCTAGTTGTTTTAGCAACATCGTGGGTACATTTCCATTGAGATGATTCACTACATTTTGAATAATATCCATGATCTGCGGTGTCTGTGTCCAACTAATTTGATACATGGGTTTCTTGTTTTTCTTCAATTCTTGATCTTCGAGTTTTATTAATTCTGCAATGCTATTGACGCCATTAGAATTGAGTGTCCATCTTCCCGAATCTGCAAATTCTCTAGTATTCACAACTGTATCGTTGTAATAGTAATCATCGGAGTTGTCGATGTTGAGAACGATGACTTTCGGTGAGGTACTGTGTAACCTAGTAGTAGTAATATAAAAAAGGCTCATATCTTTCAGACTCTGAAAGTCAAAGTTTTTGACTCCGACGGAATTCGCAGGCATATAGAGATAGGATTTGAGATTGTTTTGAATGATTGTCGCCACTTTAGCTGGAAGGATTCCAGGATCAATACCAAAATTTGTATGAGAAATAGAAAGAAAAATTAATTCACCCGATGTAGAATGAGTATCGAGGAAACTTTTAACTTGATGGAGTACATCCTTCAGCTTAGAACCACGAAGACCATGCTGAATATAGAAGGATCCATCTGTATCGTAGTAAATCCGCAAGTCAAAAAAGCGTATACCATCATCGAGTTGCTGTCGAATGGTTCGATTCTGCGAAATAGATATTCGAAGTGCAGTTTCAAGAACATAGTTTAACAAGATGCGACCAACATAAATCTTATCTTTACTGAATGGTAGCTGACCATTTGCTGGGGCAGTATCGGCACTTAAACTCCATAAAAATTTGATATTTCCATAGATGATCTGAGATAATTTTCGTGTTAGACCATACGATCCAGAATCGTGAGTTCCAGGAATTTTTAGCTGTGAAAGGGTCTTCGACTGGATTTTTGGAGTTGACATCCAGCGGCTGTAATGCGTTTCAGTTTGTTCCATTTTATAAATATCCTCATGAAACGTTCTGTTAGGCATCTATCTCATGTTGAATACATCCTGAATCAATGTTGTATTTATAAGATTGCTAATCACGATGTTCAATTTGTCAACGATAATGCTATTATATTTCATGTTGAGTGTACTTGCTAGATGGTAGGGTGTATCAATAAGCTTGTACCATGTAGAGAAGAATGTTTTTAAGAGCATTACGAAGTCACCATTGATACTGAAACTCTGAATGGAAAATGCCAACCGTGTCACTATACAAGAGAAATCTTGATGTTCACTGATGTTGATTGTTGCTTGCATCAACATGGAAGCGGTACCGATAGTTGCATTAAAATTCATACTCATGCCATGATACATTATAGAAGCAAAGATCTTACCATTTAAGTTGAGAATCATATTGATGTGCCACTGTAGATTGTTTTCTTGATAATGAGCTAGCGATAGTGCAGCATAACTGCAATAGATAGATTGTGGAGTGAGATCAAGTTTTTTGATGGTTAATTTTATAGCATCATCGAGATCAATGGAGAGTGAATTAGTGGACATATACGCGACAATAGCTGGAAGATTAGCAGCAATGAAGCTATTGATCAAGGGTGGCAAGACTCCAGGACCACCGAAAAAGTAGAATGTGTAATCGATATCTTTGCTAAATGGTTTGGTTGGAGCGAGTAATGCTCCTATGTGACCTTCTGGTCCGGAGAAATTCACAGTGGTAACGTAAGTTCCCTGTCCCATATTTACCATCATCGTGTTGGATCCATAAGCGATGTCGAAATACGACTGGGATATTCCAGTCCCACTACTAATATATGACACAGAACTTGTTCTACCTGCTTCGATCGTTTGGCTAGGAAACGTATTTTTCATATTCATATTTATTGATGTTGTTGATATCAATGGCTGCGAATAGTCATTGGTGACTGTCATATATGCACTTGTCGTTTGTGTCATCGTCATCTTCAGCATATTTTCTGTTCGTCTATGAGTTTCTATATTTAGGAAAAAAAAAGTCATTGATTCACTAGTGTTGACCTATGTCAAATGTTAAAAGGTATCAATAGCAAAAAGCTTGATAAAAAAATGAAGCAAAAGTAAACCAATTCCTTCGTTGTTTTTACCTGGCAAACATGAATGACCATAGAATGCTAATTCCGAATAGTGTACTCCGCTTTCAACTCCTCGTTTCAATACTACCAACAGACGATAGCTTTGGTAAGGTTGACTATTGTTGAACATTTGAAGAACACCTGTTTTACCTCGACCTGGATCGCTTTCAAGTCCACTCGATCCATTGTACATCAATGATCAACTGCTACCAAGTGTTAACAAAGACTTGTTAGCATTACTTCCTTCAAGTGTAACCATTATTGGATCTCGTTTTGGATGACTAGTTGCAGTTGTAAACTGAAATCCATTCACAATACAAATGCCAGCATTGAGTGTAAGATAAAAGCCTGTATTTAGACCAGTTTTTTGACTCATGGTATTAGTTGATCCTGATCCAAAACTTCTATATTTAGTATGAATATTCTGATCAAAAATATGCGAAACTGTTTCTTTTGGTGCCATTTTCCCTTTTCCATAACCTATTGACGCTGGATAACTATTTCTTTCTGCTTTCGTTTTCCAAATTGGTGATACCCTATTGTGAAGTGTATCGATATAATGTTCTAGAATGAAAAGGTAATATAGAGGTAATAAAACTTCTATTGTGACAAGAAGAATTACATACGAAGAGGAGTAGCACAGTCGAATCCTGTCCACGCCGACATACATTGGCAGATGCCAAATTGGAAATAGCCACTCTCGATACATGTTCCATGTATAGTATCCGTACATTGATTATAGCAATATACTGGATTTGATAAATATCGATCAACGGCTAATTTGATCAGTGCAGCTTTTTGAAAAATATATGAATCAGCAGGAAAATGGCCATTCGTTAACAAATCAAAAATAGTAGAAAAACTAAATTTCAGAAGGACTGGGTTATCTGATACTGACTTATACCAATCATCAAACGATTTTATTGAAATATTACCAGCATATATCATAACATTACTTTTAGTGAAATACTTATTAGAAATATTCATTAACATTTTATCGCATGTTTGCGTTCGATTTAATTTCATTTGAACTGAAAAGAGTTCTTTGGCAACATCTCTCATCCATACTTGGTACGATGTATTAAATCCATTTTGCTCTACATTAGTATGATCGCTTTGTGTAATAACAATCGTTTGTTGTATAATACCACCAAGTTGAACTTCTTTAATATATGTATAACCAAAATAGCCAATTATAAATTCATGAATGTACTTTTCTACGGTTTCATTAAAGTCACAGCATGGCATATTCTCAATGACGAAACGAAATTCATTCGAGATCTCAAATTTTGATTCATTGATCGAAAGACGAATCGATGTTATATTGAACGAAGTAACAAGTATGGTTGCATTATCTTTCATGATCATATCAATGATTGAGCGTATTTCTCTTGAGTAAGCATAAGAGAAAGAAACATTAACATATCTTGAATTTCGCTTAAAATCAGTTGAAAAATCAACAGTTTTCAACATGTGTTCTTTTAGATCACGTAATGTATTAATAATTTGTGTTTCGATATTGACATTCTGCGAGGTTATACAATCAATTTTCACATTTTCTGATGTAGAATGGTTGGTACAAGTTCCTTTAGATGGAATAAAATACTTAAGCTTGAAAATAGGTAGAGCAAAACCTTCTCTTTGACAAAAATCGGTGTAACAAATAGGAGAGCCTTTTAATGGATTATAGCCAAGACCAAGAGGAACACTGTTTTGAAGTTGAACTTTGGATGCATGTAGTTGTTGACGAATAAATGACCATCGATCTTTCAACATTTCGGCTGCAACAATCAAACGAAAAAAAAGTCAGAAATATAAACGCCATCTAATTGAAATAGTTATCTTTATGCATGAAAATCTAAGAATGATATAACACTTTGTATTGAATAATCTAGTCGCTTATGTTTCTCGTTAATTAGACAGAATTCGTCTCGTAATACGAATTTATTACGAGAAAAACCATCTGATTCTGAATAGTGCACTCCATTTTCAACGCCTTGTTTCGACACTTCTCTTAAATTTTGTTTGCCGGGTACTTACTTTCTGATAAAAGACAATCAGTATTGTTAATAGTAAATTTTTGTACTCGTGAATTTCCAATATCGGCAACGTACAGATTTCCTTCAACATCGAATGCCAGTGATTTTGGCCGGTCTAGATGATATGTAGAATTGCCAGATTCACCTATGATTTTATTATTAATAAAAGAGTTCAAAAATAAATGCAAATTTCATTGTTTACCTGAGATACCACAAAGAATTTCTCCTTGTGTTTCTCCTTCTTTCCATCGAATAATTCTATGATTGTTCATATCAGCAATGTAAATAAAACCATTGTTATCACCTATAATGTCATATGGTCGATAAAGAGAACCATTCGATTGATCTTTTTTTCTTGTCTGTCCAGCAATCGTAATGCCATGTGTTGCATTTTGTGTCCATTTCTGTATTCGATGGTTGTTCACATCACTAATGTATATATCCTTTGCATTATTGACATATAAACTATACGGATAAGAAAGTGTTTGATTCGAAGATCCATCTATATTTGTTATTCCAGCTACAATTATCGTTCTATTCGTGTGGATATTACATTTAATGACACGAGAATGAAAACGTTCGACAATATAAAAATCTTGATTTTCTGAATCGAACCATACACGAGAACATTGATTACATTGACAATTTATTTTCTCTCCTTGTCTTGCATCTCTAAACCAACGTTGAATATTTCCATTGTAAGAAGCTGTGTAAATAGTTGCATTTTCATCGATTAGAATAATAGAATCGAATTCATTCCACAATGTATGACCAACAAGAGATCCATTTGGAAATATTTGTAATCGAGTTTTGTCATTGTAACGATCAACAACATACAACGTATCAATTCCAATAATTGCAATTCTTTCCAGATCATTGAGATATGTATTTAATTTATTTCCTACAATTGTCTCACCTGCATGAATCCACTTTGAGCAAGATCTTATTTGAGATGATATTGTATTGACAGTTTTCGATGAAGTAAATTTACTTTCTTTTACTATAATAGATAATCATTATTAACTTATATTGATTTAGCAAAAAAATAGACTGTCAACAATCGTAATCATTTCAGTTTGTTTCATTCTTGTTTAATGGGTAAATTTCAAGAAACAAAGAAAAAACCTTACTCTTATGTTGTTTTGATAAAGAATTCATTGTTAATTTATGACTAGTTGAATTCATACATGCTGTTAATACGATAGATACAATAAACAAAAAACCTTTTCTTAGTATGATAATCTTCATTTCTCTGCAATTTTTAATTCATTCCAATCAATTACAGTTGCTAAAATCACTCTCAAACTAAAAAAAAAAAGAATATAATATAGAAACATAAACAATCGTTACTATCACAAACATTCTTTTCCTTCTCTTTCTGTTTCTCTTATAGAAAAGGATATGGCAAAAACTAATATCTCCTTTGCTGTTTATTATTAAATTATTCAAAATAAAAAGAAAGGTCAAGTATATTTACAGTAAGGAAATGTATCGTTTATCACCTGTCAACACTTCCGTAATAATTTACTGTAAAATAAGAAATGGTCTGTTAGTATCTGTAATCCTTCATGGATATTTATTCAATTGTCAATGACAGAAAGAAAAATAGATATGAATAGAACGATTATCATTACAAGAAAATGCACTGTTGGATTTTATTCACGATATTTTTACTAGTTTTCAAACGTATCAATATTAATTTTGCTCTCTGCGAAACTTCTACTTATAGGGTTTAGATTGTCGATAACTTTCATGACGCAAAACAATGGCAAGAATATAAAAAATATTTCTGATTTCGATCAAATATTTTTTGGCAAATAAAAAGATAATTGAGAATATGGGTGTATTTTGTTTTAAGCAAAATTTACAAAGGACAAGTGGCGATAAGGCCATTTTTCGATCCTCTTATTTTTTTGATAAAAACCACTTGTACATAGCAAATTGACTATGGGGGACACATTTCTTCAGTCAGTTTTGAAAAATTCGACCAAAAAAATTTTTCGATCCTGAATCCCCCTTCAGATATTGGTCGAAAACTTATTGCCTCAGTTCATTCGATGCAGAATTTTATGCTGATCACGAATATCACATTCATGTTTGCAAAAACTGAAATTTGGTTGCATAAATTGAGTTTTGACATCAAAATTCGATTTTTACTGAAATCAAGTTTTGACTGCAAGTTGAGCATAAAAATAAGTCGAAAATGTTTGACTAAATGCCTTTACATGCGGGAATTGGTAATCTTTTCGAAATATTCAAAAAACAGTGTTAAAATCTTGATTTTAGATTTATAAGTACTCTGTACCAGAGTCGTTTTCAGCAAATTACTCTTTTCTCAGCATGTTTGTAACTGTATTTCTCCATTATGAAGTCTTCATTCAATTGGATTTATACATAGTTAGATGCAGGTTTTCATTCTCATTTAGAAAATAAAGTCAAAACTGAAGAAAAAGTTGCGGAAGAATGTTATATTGGTTAAAAACTTCGAAAAAGTCGCGTTTGAGCTCGTAGTTTTAAGGTTTTAGCCTTGAAACAAATTCAGATTTCAATTTTAACATCATATTCGGATTCAGCAACTCAAACTGACTTGGCCAGAATGCTTTTCATTCAAAAAACAGAAATTTTTTTCTTCACCCAAAACCTCAGCCTGAGATACCATCGGGATTCCATTTAACAGGTTGAATACGAAAAAGGGTGCGGAGTGTGGGCAGGATTTCAAATAGAAATCTAAAACAAAACGTACATGTACATTTTGGTTTTACCAGCAACATGTATGTGTACATTTTATTTTTAGCAGCAAAATGTACAAAGTGTACAGAAGTCAATTATTTTCAATCTAGAAAACAAAAATAATGTTCATTTCATTTCATGAAGAAAATAAATAAAGACTTAGTAAACACAAGTGACAAATAGACGTACTATTTCTTAATCTGAGACGTTTCGTTACAAAAACGTGAGAAAAAAAGACTTTGTACAACAAAAAAAGTTCATATATTAATTTTTCAAATATAATAGCAGCAAAAACGTCAATCAGCTTAATTTTCATCTTCATCTTGATGCATGTCATAACGATCAGAACAAAACCATAAAGAATCTACACTTATATTTAACTTAATTCTACATACATTGCGTAACCATCTTGAGCAATTATCATGATGCTCGATCCAGCTAAATTGTTCTGACTGATGACAACATTGAATAGCATTAGATTGGAATGGATCATCAGCTTCTACTTCAGTACAACAGTTATTAGCACCTATGAAAAAGATTCAACAACACTCAAATAAATATAGAGTCAAGACTTACATTTAATCAATTTTGCTTTTGGTATTTTTGGCTTTTTACTATTCATTGCAAGATTATTTACAGATAAATTTCGCTTGATCACTAATCGTGTTTGCTTTATTGTTTCATAATCCGGTGGTAAATCAATTAAGAGTCGCATTTGATTTAAACGACGATGATATTCTTGATCATTCCATGACTCGAATGATCGTACGACGACTTTTTGTAAACGTGCACAAAAGGAAAATATTTTAATTTTATATGTATAAAAAAGTAAATAATAATCTTTATCTTACCTGCGTAAATCTTCTGTTAATAATAATCTAATGTTCATGATTGCATCCAATGTAGAAACCATTAAACGTGAACGACCGATTGTTTGAACTTTATTGACCGCGCTAAACTATAAAAAAAAAAAATAAAAAAATAAACAGCACACTATAAATTCACTAACATAGTCCACGTTCACATTCAGTAGAAATAGTTGGCGAAATCAAGTAAATATAAACTAATAATAATATGTTTTTGTGATGATCGTGATAAAGATTATTTATAGATTGTTTAAGTAAAAGAAAATTTTTCCAAAACATTTTTTGGTGAATAATCAAGTGCAATATAATCTATGTAATCGATCAATGAAGCTTTGAGTGATTCCCACTCATTGCGAACAGCAATAAAATCAAAATCCGAAAAATTTCGATATTTTTTTCTTACAAAATCAAGTGCAGATCGTCCATATGTGTTTGAACTTATTTTCTTTTTGTGTTCGATCAAATATTGAGGATCAAATAGAATAGATGGGTTTTCTTGAACAGATGATGAAGAAAATCGCCTATCCAGTTCTTCAAATAATCGATTAATATGTTCTAAACAATTATTTGATAATTTTTCACGATCATCTTTTACAATTTTAAATGCACCAAATGAATTCGTTTTTGTTAATTCAAGATAATCGGCTAATGCTGGATCTGTTGCTGTTGGTGATTCAAATGTCCAACCCTTCAAAATACTTGTTTTTTCTTTTATTGTTTCCATTAAATTAAAGTAAGATAAATGATCATTTTGCATCGGTTTTGTAATTGGTCCTAAATAAGATGAAATAGACTGAACAAGACTGAGAAAAATTCAAAATAAAAGGTATAAAATATAAATAAACTCACCAAGCACAGATTCATGAAGATCATGATGCATGTGAAGCAAAAAGAGAAATTCATCATTTAGTATTTCGTTCAGCAGATCTTTTGCACATTCACGTTCAACATTTGTTGAATTATAATCATCTATTGCTTCTTGTAAACACGCAAAGAGTGCTTGAGATCCTAAATAAAATTTTTAAAATATTATTCTACAACTGTTTGGCATATGAAGACCTGGTTGTACATTAACAATTATTGGTCTAATACAATCACGAATTGATGACCACCGAATATCGAAAATTCTCTTAAATTTGAGCTCAGGCATTTCCGTGAAATTTTGCCAATTTTTAAGCTTCAATTGTCGAGGACAACTCTTGTTAAAATAGTTGTAGATTTTACTTATTACAGACTCAACTTTCATGATAGATTCAGAAAGAACAGGTATTTTATTATCTACGATAAATAGGCGATCAAATTCAGAATTTTTAATGTAAAAAGGAATCAATAAATACTTAGTGTTTTTGAATTATATGATGCTTGAGATCCAACCAAAGCAAACGAATGAGCTACACATGTATTTAATTTTAAATAATCAATAGATAATTGATTACGTAGTTTAGCTATAACACCTTCATTTGCACCTAAAATGAGTTTCATATTATTCGCAAAGATTATATAGTAAAATAGTGTGATCCTAACCAGTAAATGTTGACGCATTATCAGTTGACAACCAACATGAATTTGTTGGCTTTAAATCATCTTTTGTCCACAAACAATTAAGACGTTTAACAATGTTCTTAGCAGTATCATCACCATATAAATCTAATAAACCATAATATGATGTTTTAGGTTCATTATCTTCAATATACCGCACGTAAACTATACATATTTTACCAGTAGATCTTAATGTAGATTCATCCATCATCCAGCCTGGGAGATCGAGAAGCAATATTACAATTGAGCAGATATTTTAAAATTAACATACCAATTACGGGACTGGCTTTCACTTTTTCAAGCAATTCCTCGTGGAGATAGCTTAAGATGTGTTGATTGAAACAAAGCGCAGCCTTGTTGTTTCTGTAGTTCAATCCAGAAACTTCAGCTGGCAATAAATTAACCCCTAATTTCTCTAATAAAATGCATAACGGTTCAAGACTATTCAACGAATTATCTTGCTGACATAAATAAATGCATGCCGTCATCAAATTTTGTATCGCTTGCTCATGCTTATTCAATTGTTTTTGTTGAGTTGCAACCCAACCCGGCTGCTCTCTACAGGATACAGTCAGTTCTAATTGTTCGGTCTGTTTATGAACTTCACTTTTGTCTTTATGTTTCTTAATGGTATCTAACGAAATTGTTGTCATTCCAGAAGTAGCCCAAACATTTAGTTTACCTATATAAAACAATATTGTTCATACTTTTTCCGAAATCTATTACTGAACATGCAAAAAGGTAAGCCAAGACTTAGTTTATTAAATTTAAACTTATTTTAAAAAAATATGTTGTAAGGATAAATCCTACCATTAGTGTTTGTTTTTTTATTATATTTTTCACATAGACGACATCGCATAGCATTTTGTTCATAATACAACCAGCAAACGAATTGTTCCCGTTTTGTTCCAAAATTATCAAAAAAATGTTTTATATTTAGATTCTGGATATTTTTCCCAATTCGGTAAATACTGTACACGATGCTTTGTTCGGATTGATTTCGAATCTTTTTTCTCAACATCTTTATTACCTGTTAATAAAGTGCAATTATTAGATAAAAGACGTATTGGCTTATTACTTGAATTTTTATTAATATTTTCGGTAAGAGCATTTTCTGTTTCTGCTGTTAAGATAGGTGATGATGGTAATGAAATTATTGATGATGATGATGAAGATGGAATTGTTGTTGATGATGAAGGTGAATTGGTACATGATGAAAGTAGATTTGTTGCTGACGACGAAGCTGTTGATGAAGAAGATGATACTGTTAAAATCATTTCAATTTCATGATCAACTAGACTAGAAATATGTCGTGTTGAAGTTGCACCTTGACTTTTATTCCAAATTTTATCTAAAGTTGTCTGAGTTTTATCCATACACAAATCTAAAATAAATTTCAAGACAAAAAAGAATTCATGTCAGCGTTGACATAAAGATTACTCAGTAGAAGTAGAATTATAATTATAATACAACTACAACCAATTATTTGTATTGAAATAGATGGAAAATAAAATCAAATGAAAGCAATCGCGTTAGCGAATGATACAATTATGCTGAAGATGTCATAATTTACTGTTTCACATAGATAAACTACGATATGTTTGGCATTAATATCATGTGTAACTTTTGAAGTTCTAGTGCTAGAATCAAAGTGTAATTTTTTTTGGCAAAATGTACGCCGTACATTTTGCTTTTTTGAGCAAAATGTAAACCAGAGTGTAAATCAGACACAGCAGATGTATTGTACATTTTGTTTATGCTGTGTACACCTGCTATTGGAAACCCTGATACGATGGCATTAGTCGTGACCAATTGAGTTTGGAATGAACCAATAAGAAGATTACTAAACTGCATTAATGCACTTTGTTGTACACGTGATGTACAGGTGTCCGACATAAGCAGTTATTTCAAATATTTCCTCCATGACGATAATCACTATATGTCAACGAATATCGAAAAAATAAATGGTTCTTTTTATTTTTTAGAAATGCCCGAAATAGGTTCATGCACCGATATAACATGTGATGATGAAATTAAAGAATTATATGAATGTCATTATTGTTTACGGCTTATTTGTTTCAAACATTTGGCTGAACATATTGAAATAACAAAACAAAATAAACGACGTTTAGATAATCTTCGTATTGATCTAAATACAGTTATAACTACACTTCAACTAATTGTTGAACAAAAACTATCAACTATTGGACGTGAATAACACTTGATTGAACAAGCAAAAAATGTCTTGACATACCCGATAGTTCAATTGATGAACTACAAAATATTTTCGAACAAATTAATCAAGTTATTGCATCAAAATCTTCAGGTAAAAATGAAATTAGATAATCGTTTTGTTATTGTTTACTATTTTTATCTTTTATTATGGAAGAAATCAAGGTGAAAGTCAAACCTTCATTATCAACAAATAAAAATTGTATTTGTATTTGCACATGTAATAAGGAAGACATCGATTCAAATGGTAAAATGAAATTTTTGTATCATTGAAATTAAATTTAATTATTATAGATCAATTACCATTGAGGAGTACTTCTTCACAAGCAGAGTATTTGGTTTCATATTCTATGTTTTCTTTTCATTCTATTTATTCTTATTAGATCACTTGTTGGTGCCGATCAAACCATATATACCGGTATTTAACGACGAAATTAGCGGAACTTATTAATCTCCATTTGAACGCATATTGATATTACAAAAAATTTTTAGTAAAAGTAGAAAAGAGTTCTAGCTAATGAACCAAGTTATGACTCTTACCGATTTTTCGACCTGAAAGTTTGAGCTAGAAAAAAAAGTTCATTCATCGAGATATTGAATTTCCGAGTAAACTCGATTTTCTTCGGATGGTTTATGACTGGTGTCTATTTATTGCAAATTTAATACCTTGATAAATGAGCATTGTTTTTTTTCGCTACAGATGTCAGGTTATCCGAAATATCATTCAATTAATCAATGAATGAAATTCGGTTATTTCATTTTTGAATAAACACCGAAAGATGGACCGAAAATTCACTAAATCGGTCATAACTCGACTCATGGACACGACTACTTTCAAGCTTGTACTAGTTTTAACGAGTTTTTATTGCTGAGCTTAAATTGTACATATCAGCTCGTGTAGTTCTCTCGTAGAATAAAAACAAATCCTTCACAATATATCATTTTTATATGTTTAGATGTACGAGAAGACGTTGAAATCTCAAAAAGTAAGTGAAATTTTTCTAATTTGAAAAGGAAAAATAAGTATGATTGGCTTAAGTTGAGAGAAATTCAACATATACCAATCGTGATTTGATTGATACTATTTCATTAGAGTGAGTTTCTTTTTTATTAGAAAAAATTCCAATACTGATGGCATATTTTTCTTTCTATTTTAGTGAAACAGCAACACCTACTGAGATAAAAATAATTACCACTATATAAATACGAAATGAAGTAGTCGAAAGATCAGAGTCGTTGTATACATCTAAATTAGTTTTATTTTCTATGCAATCATTTCTGCATGATATTTAAACATTCACTACGTTTTTTTAGGATCAACATGTAAATGTAGAACAAAAGAAACGTGAACGAAAATCCTGTAGAAGGATTTTTGATGAATGTTTATTAACATTTGATGTAGTGTATGGTCTTACTAAAGCGAATCGTTCTATTGAATTTTGTGAATTGAGAAAAAATTGTCTATTCATATTATATTATCATTTCATTAGAAAGCATAAATTAAAAAAAGTTCATGCTCTAAGTTTGGCACAAGCTGTTGCTGAGAATCAAGATCCTAGGATAACAAAATTGTTTGATAAAAATAAAGATGTAATTGATCATTTTTATAGAGTTCCATGTCGTTTTATTAATGGATGAATTAATAGACTAGGATATAGTCAAGCATATATAGCATGTGTACCATGTCGACGTCGAATAGTTTCAATTTATGTACTAAAATATCATTTACGAGATCGTCATCGTGTTTATCATTGGTTGACACAAAAACTGGTTGATGGTTTCAAAGAAGTTCTAGCAACAAATGATATTGCTTTAGCTCCACAAATTCCATCAACATAAAGAGAAGAATAGAAAATCTTAAAATAATCTTCATTGATGTTTGCTTCATTTTTTTTTGTTACAAATATTCTGTTTATCAAAATAAAACATTCAATAATTTGAAACAATTAAGGTGTTGGGAGCAGGCTTCGTAGCGCCCTGAGTGCGAGATATAGGTAGGATAGGATTTTTACAACAAAATTTTTATAGGATTGCTAAAATAATATAGGAAATATATAGGATCATTCTTTTTAGTAAAAAAACCTAGATAGCAGATTTAATTATGTTGCAATATTCAAGATAAGAAAATTTGATGCAGAAAAAAAGCAAATTATAACATAATAATGTGCAATGCTGGCCAAAAGTATTCCTGCATAAGATCTCAGTCACTACAAGTGCTGTTGCTCTGAAAACTAGATTCTGCATAGATCTCGAATAATGTAGGTCAGCGGCGAACCCGCGTCTCCATATCCTGAGGTGCAAGAGAGTTATGACACGTGGGATTCATTTTCATTGTGGACGTCATAACTCCAAACCAACAAATCTTTATGCGTTGTGAGACACGTTATTTTGTAGCCCTGCGTACTGGCTATTTATAGTAAAAATTTTATCAAAATTCATTGAGTTTTTCTGAAGCTAGGTTCATTTTACTGTAAGAATGCGTATGCTCAGAAACCGTCAAATCTCATTGTATAACCCATAATTCAGTATGGCTTCAACAGATCGACTTCAAACTTACGTAAAAGATAGGCTCACAAACCTTTATTGCTCTCCAAAATTGTGAAACTTCTATCACATACTATAGAGAGAAATGGCACTATGCTCAAGTTCAGGATATTGCCATAGATCTAGGTACTCGAATACTCAACCAATTGACCTCATCTTTTGGGCACATAACTAGCATGTAAGAGGGAACAGTCCTACCAAGAAAAAGTTAGAAAATTCATTAGATATTATGGAAAACAAAACATAAGCTTTTATAGTCAGTTTTCCCGTCATTCTGACGACCTTTTATTGTTTTGTTTAGCAGTGTCAAAAAAAACGTTATACAAAAGAATTAAAAAGAATTTATCTATCTAGTTCAAATCTGTCAAGGGTCTTCTGATAGTTTTCATCATGATGATGAATCAGAGTAAGCGTGGTAGTAAGAATATAAGTAAAATTGGTATGTAACTGTGAAGAGGATACTAATCCTTATTCTCACTCTCTACCTTCCTCAGCTTTGTCAAATGAGGGAAAATTTGACTATAAAAGTTTATGCTTTGCTTTTCATGATATCTAATGAATTTTCTAACTTTTTCTTGGTAGGACTGTTCCCTCTTACATGCTAGTTATGTGCCCAAAAGATGAGGTCAATTGGTTGAGTATTCGAGTACCTAGATCTATGGCAATATCCCGAACTCGAGCATAGTGCCATTTCTCTCTATAGTATGTGATAGAAGTTTCACAATTTTGGAGAGCAATAAGGGTTTGTGAGCCTATCTTTTCTGTACGTTTGAAGTCGATCTGTTGAAGCCATGCTGAATTATGGGTTATACAATGAGATTTGACGGCTTCTGAGCATACCCATCCTTACAGTAAAATGAACCTAGCTTCACAAAAACTCAATGAATTTTGTTAAAATTTTTACTATAAATAGCCAGTGTGCAGAGCTACAAAATAACGTGTCTCACAGCTCATAAGGATTTGTTGTTCTGGAGACATGACGTCCACAATGGAAATGAACCGCATGCATCGTAACTCTCTAGTGACTGAGGATATGGAGGCGTGAGTTTCGTCGCTAACCTGCATTATTCGAGATCTGTATAGAGAATCTAGTTTTCAGAGCAACAGCACTTGTAGTGGATGAGATCTGATGCGGGGATAATTTTGGCCAGCCCTGTATATATGCATTTGTAATTCTCGAAATCATGAATATAGCGTTCAAAATGAATTTTTAGTGAAATTTCGTCATTTTTTTCATATATATAGGAATTATAGGAAAAATGACCCGAAAATAGGAAATTATAGGAGGACTTTGCGATATATAGGAAATATAGGACGACTACGAAGCCTGGTTGGGAGGTTGTTGTTGTGGTGTGCGGATCTGCGGTGTGGGCATGGGTGGCTGTTGAATTAGAAAAAACACACTCCACACCCATCCATGCCCCCTTTGCATATTTTGTCGAAGATAAGAGCAATATATACTGAACCGATAAATACATTAATATCTAATGAGTCTTTGCAGTCAGAGCTCGCTGATATTGTCTAATTAGAAACTCGACAACTTACTCAACGTTGTTTTTTCTTTAAAAATATCTATAGATCCAATATGTTGCAAAATGATCGGCATTAGTAATAATAATTCATCAATTCAAGTCTTTTCTCTAAATTCGTTATAAGCGTCATTTCGAGAAGTTGTTGCTGCGGAATTCCTCTGTAATTAATTTTTGTTTTGGTAGATGATTCCGTTTCAGATAAACTAACAATACTACAACAAACTCACCGTGTAATAATAAAAGCTTAAATGTTTTGTGACACGTTTTTTTGCAAAATTAGCTATTGGAGTACTGACAATTAATATTCATAAACTTTCTTGTTGTCCACGTTTGCTTTTGCTTTTATTTAGAATTCGATAGCAAAACTCAGAATAACTACCAAAACAATTGAATCAAGTGAAATAAAACAATGAATTTCGATCTGGACATAAGTTTCCCTCGCATCCATCGTCAATTCTTTGCAAATTATCGATAGAACAGATCATTCGATTTAAAGTAATTGACTTTCGAAGCGTTGATATCCCAGTGAAATATTTTATCAATTAAAATTGATTACAATTTCAAACTCTTATGCAATTAATCACAATGATAAATACAAATTTTTCGCAACGAAATCGAAATTATAATCGATCATCATTCTTGAAAAATCCGATTTTTGGTGAATGGAAAAAATTACTTCTTCGTAGTCTATCTTATCAGCATTTTGTCGTGCATAGGAAATTATCAATCGATATCGCCTCTCCAATGTTAGGAAGTGTATCGAAAGTTGATATACTATTGTATTTACTATTTGTTAAGCTGAGGAGTTTGAAAATCCTTATAAAAATGTTGGGTTCTTCAATCAAAACTCAAGAAAAAATATGTTTTATTTCCATAAACATTATAATCGATTGAAAAATCACTCAATCCAATTTGATGCGATTGACATTTTAATCTATAATGAAAATAATAATTAACTATTTTAAAAATCTGATGAGAATTTAGAAAATCGATTATAATCATAAGAAATGGATTCCTTTTCAATTGATTACGTAATTACAATCTAATTTTAATAGAATTATTTTTGGAATCAGCATTGTTCTAGCAGAAGCTAAAAGAAACTGGTATCTAATGGAAAACAATCATAATTATAGTAGGAAGAGTTTTCGCTGGAATGATTTCATGCAGTGAAATCTGTACGTAAAAATAATTTGAGTTAATTTATTGAAGATATTTGAAAAACATTATCGCATATTTCTTTCCCAATCAAATTAATCAACAATTTTGGTACTTTTCTACATCACTTGTCCTAAAATATTTTCTTTTACGGAAAAATATGACGCTTATCCATATCTACAAATAATGAAAACTTATTAATGAGCAGTAAATGATTATTGAGAAAAATTGAAAAGATACTGAAGATTTTCAGTCGACGGTAATTATACGCTGGTTCATCATTAAACTATTCATATGTCTCGCTTCATAATATAGATGTTATGATATGTGTGATATCAATTATATTTATCTAAATATAAAATTAAGACATTAATAAGTTGGTTTGGACATAGTAGTAATCATTTTACAGTCTTTTGATTCATCTTGTAGGATACGGGAATCAATATTATTTTGTCTATTGAATTGTACAAAATAGATTAGATTTTCATCTATATTGTTCATGTTACGAAGTTGCTATGCGCAGCCCTCCTCAATGGAGTGCCCATTTAAAAAGAATTCACAAAAGAAACAAAAAAAAACAACCGAAAAAACAAACGAAGGCAAAGAACATAGAACCGAAACAGTGCAACTTATCTTATCATAACCATAAAAACAAAACATTCGAAAAAAACACAAAGTGCTCACGTTGCGAAATTTCCAACTAACGACTACACCTTTAAATCATCAACGAAGCTTTTTTGTGATATTACTTTGGTGAGTAAACCATTAGAAAGCTATTAAAAGGATATGAGAAATTGTTTCGATGTTCAACATGAGGTGCCAAGCTGTTGTGAGAAGACGGAATGATTTCACGACATGTGAAATTAAAATGCATAAGTAATTCAATCTATAAGTTGATAATTATTTTCAAGTGTATCGCTTACCCACCATATTTAGTCACCATATCCTAGTAATTGTTGATATTTCTTTTATTCTTTTTTATTACACATACATCTATGAAGCGAAGAGTCTGTAGATGCGAGTGTTTCGGTGAAATATGCTGTGGGTGCATCTGGGCTGCGCCTCATGGTTCGGTGTGAGCGGCTGATATTAGAGATTTTAGTGGTACATACAAACTTAAAATCCTCACCCGAACTCACCCTACACCACATCCTTATCTCCATTCCGCCACCTACACCCTCCGTCCCGTCACAATCCTATGCCATACCCACACACAGGTCTACGCCGACAGCCACGCTCAAAATACCGCAGTTTACCCACATCCACAGCCACAGTCTGAACATACACCTATGAAGCGAACAAGCTCTAGACTTCAGTGCTTTCGTAGAATATGATGTGGGTGCATCTGGATGTGGCCTCATGATAAGGTGCAGGTGGCAGTGATTCAGGATATGAGGGATAGAAGCACACTAGATTCTCACCCACCTCACCTCTACACAATATCCCCGCCTACGCTCAGAGCTACAGCGGCAGCCGCACTAACACCCGCTGCAACACCCACAGCTATATCCACATGCGACACCAGCACCGACACCCGCATTCACGCACATACTCATACGCAGGATTTGGGTGTGTGAGTGTCCGTCCAGGTGTCGATGTGTCGTGAAA